CTGCAACTCCTGAAATCCCCCACCATCCCAGCACACATTAAAGGTAAAGGTTGGTGAAAGCCAGGTTATATTAGGTCTTCATTCCGTCATCTAGTTCTTAACGGCAAACAATGTTGGTTAAAAAAATAAAAATGTCTATCAAGCACAGATCTATATAGCAATGCAGAAATGATTGGACATTTCCTTCTTCCAAGATGCAGAGAGTATTGCATAGGAAATAAGTGGCTAATGAGTCTTTTTGTTTTAGCACTTTTGGTTGTGTTTACTAGAGAATTAGTAATTGGAGGAAAGGAAGGGAGGGGATCCTTTTATTCGCTTTCATACATCTTGGCCAGGGAAAACTCCCTTGCGGAGGGGTGGGGGTCAGTGGTGGGATTCAAAAAACTTTACTACCGGTTCCGTGGGTGTGGCTTGGTGGGCGTGGCTTGGTGGGTGTGGCAGGGGAAGGATACTGTACAATCTCCATTCTCTTCCCACTCCTGCAGGAAGGTTACTGCAAAATCCCCCTTTCCTCCCCACCCTACTAACCTGCTTTCTAGCTCCGTTCTGTTCAGGGCAACCAAAGAAGACCCAGCCGATCAGCTGGGACTCAATGGGAGGCAGAGAATAGATGGGACGGGCAGTGGTGGGATTCAATTTTTTTACTACCGATTCTGTGGACGTGGCTTGGTGGGTGTGGCTTAATGGGCGTGGCAGGGAAGGATACTGTAAAATCTCCATTCCCTCCCCACTCCTGGGGGAAGGTTACTGCAAAGTCCCCATTCCCTCCTCACCCCAGTAACCTGCTTTCCAGCTCCGTTCTCCTGTGCAGGGCAACCAAAGAAGACCCAGCCAATCAGCTGGGACTTGGGAGGCGGAGAAGAGATGGGGGTGGGGCCAGTCAGAGGCGGTATTTGCTGGTTCTCCGAACTACTCAAAATTTCCACCACTGGTTCTCCAGAATTGGTCTGAACCTGCTGAATACCCACCTCTGCTGGGGGTAAACCACAATCACGGATTATGTTGGGAAATTCCCATCCAGGCAGGAGGAGGGATCAAGCTGGGAGTTAGCCTTGTAGGATTGTCCCTCTCCCTTAAGTTCCGTGAAACCTTATTTGTTTGTTCCCAAGGGAAGGCAGTCAGCCTGGGGAGATTCTTGTACCACAGGTAGAACGTCATAAACTGGTCAACTTGAACCATTTACGTGTGGATCCGGTGGCTTTCACCTAATCGTTTCATCTCGTATGATCAAAATTGAGACGCGTGGCAGCCACCTCATATTTATGATGGTTGAAGTGTCATGCGATCCCCTTTTGCGACCTTCTGACAAGCAAAGTCAATGGAGAAAACAGATTCACTTAACAACCAGTTTACTAGCCTATCGACTGCAGCAATTCACTTAACAACTGTGGCAAGAAAAGTCGTAAAACCGGACAAAACTCACTTAACAAATGTCTCACTTAACAACAGAAATTGTTGGGTCGTAAATTGAGGACTCCCTATATATGGTCCTCTCAGTAAATAACTTAGGTTCCTAAGAGAGAAGGCAAAGGGACTTTAAGCGATTCCGTTTGCCTAATGGGAAATTGGTAGCAAGGGGTGCATTAATGCAGAATAGAAGATCAGTAAGTACTGCAGCTTGAAGAAATGTGTATGATTATCCTTTTTTTAAAAAAAAAAGTATTTTAAAAATATATTGTTGTGAAACTTTATATTGTTGTGAAACTTGCAATATAAACTGTAAGAGCCGTGATGGCACAGTGGTTAGAATGCACTATTGCAGGCTAATCCTGCCCATTGCCAGAAGTTTGATCCTGACCGGCTCAAGGTTGGCTCAGCCTTCCATCCTTCCGAGGTGGGTAAAATGAGGACCCAGATTGTTGGGGGCAAGAGGCTGACTCTGCAAACCACTTGGAGAGGGCTGTAAAGCACTGTGAAGCAGTATGTAAGTCTAAGTACTGTAGCTATTCCTTCCTTATCTTCTTTCCTTATCTTCCTTCCTTCCTCCTCCCCTTCCTTCCTTCCTTCCTTCCTTCCTTCCTTCCTTCCTTCCTTCCTTCCTTCCTTCCTTCCTTCCTCCCCTCCCTCCCTCCCTCCCTCCCTCCCTCCCTCCCTTCCTTCCTTCCTTCCTTCCTTCCTTCCTTCCTTCCTTGAGCCATGGTGGTGCAGTGGTTATAATACAGAACTGCAGAGTGCTTCCACTTGCCAGCTGCCTGCAATTTGGCAGTTCGAATCTCACCAGAGGCTCAAGGTTGACTCAGCCCTTCCGTCCTTCTGAAGTGGGTAAAATGAGGACCCAGATTGTTGGGGGCAAGAGGCTGATTCTGTAAACCGCTTGGAGAGGGCTGTAAGGCACTATAAAGAGGTATGTAAGTGCTATTGCTGTAACTTGTAAGTATACATATATACAAGTATAAAAAAGTAAAAACTTTGAGAACTGGAAAGCCATTGAAAATGGAAGAGGAGGTATATCAGTATGGGAAGAAGAAACCAGGGGAGCTATTGTGCCTGAAATTTCAGTGAAAGGATTCACCAGGGAGCAGATTTTTGACTATACTCCGCACCAGCCTCTCTAAATAAAATAACATTCCGTACAAACTTTAGTAGCAGAGATTTCTCTCAGTGGCTGAATATGTTTGGAAATACATTTAGATGGCTATGTTCAAACAGGAGGCTAAAAATAATTGTACAGTATTTTAAATGTTAGTGCGGTGTTCTATTCTTAGCCAGTTTTGTTTTATATCAAAAGCAGAGGGGGCAGGGGGAAGCAAAAATAAAGCACCCAGTTAGAGCAACTGATATGCATGGAAGCCCTTGGTAATGAGTACCCGGCAACATGGTGGCATCTAAGTTAAAAAAAAAAAAAACCTTAAGGCTGAACTGAGTTTGTATTTCAATAGAAGACGACCAGGGAAGACATCTCAGGACTGTAAGTTAGACAGTTAATAAACCATCACTTGATTAAACGAGAAATAAATGCCAAACCCTTATCAGCTGCTCTTCTTCTATGAGACATTTGGCTCTAAACTTCACTTAAACTTAAGATTTGAGACCGATTTTACTGACCACCCTCTGAAATTATTACAATTGGAGTGGTGTGAAGGCTTACAGATGGAGCTCTCGCTTCACAATCAGGAGGCTGTGAGTTCAATCCTAGGTAGAGGCAGATATTTCTTCTCTGGACACAGTGAGAATATATCTGCTGGGGGTGGGTGGGGGTGGAAACTCCGCATTTTTGACAGGAAGGGCATCCGTCCAGTAAACACTCAGCTCTATTCAGTTGCCAAGACTGCAGCCCGCAAGGGATTATATAGAGCCGTTAAATGAAGATGTTGACCTTGATTTACAATTGAAGTATACCTTCAGTTAAAACCCATGTCTCCATTTGAAATGCAACAGAACTCGGCTCAGATCACAGTGTGGAAGCCAGTATACGAGAGAGAGAAAGAAATTGGGCAGAACTGATCCTTGCTGGCTCCCTTAACTGTACCGGATAGCCCTCAACTTACAACAATTTGTTCGGTGATACAAATGGCAATGAAAAAGTGACTTATGACCGTTTTCCACCCTTATGACCGTTGCAGCATCCACACTATCAAAACTCAGGTGCTTGGCAACTGGTTCATATTCATGACGGTTGTAATGACCTGGGGTCAGTCCAGTGGTGGTATGCTACCGGTTTGGACTGGTTCAGCAGAACCGGTAGTAAAAAAAAAAGCCTCCCACAATCAGTTGAGAGGAGGAAAAAAAGACAAGGATCAGCTGAGAGGAGAAAGAAAGGAACAGGGCAGGATTGGCCCCCCTACCCCCCCTGCGCTTTTCTCTTCTTTATCCCCTCAGCTGATGTGGGGAAAGCTGCTCACGCATTAGGTGCGCGCGCACACACGCGCCATCCCCAAACCAGTAGCAGAACAGGTAGGATCCTATTGCTGGTGATCACCCTTTCGTGACCTTCTGACAAGCAAAATCAAGAGGAAAGCCAGATTGATTTAACAACAATGTTACTAATGTGAAAACTGTGACGATTCACTTAACAACTCTGGCAACAAAGATGGTAAAGTGGGGCGAAACTCAGTTCAGTCCCTTAGCAACAGAAATTTTGGATTCAAGGGTGGTCATAAGTTGAGGAGTACCTGGGTAGTTGGACGGAAAAGACTGGTCCTAAATGGAGATGGTGATCCTGCCATTTTGCTGGTCCTTCTGAGCATTGAAGGTTTGGGTGTTTTAGCCAAAGAGGCCAGCTTAGTGCATGGTTTGCTGTGCTGATTCTCAGAGACCAGTTATAACCAGCTTGTACTCAACAGGACAAATGCTGGAGATTAAAAAAAACAAAACCTATGTTCCCCTTTGATCCTTCCCTTTCAACTCCTTTTAACAACCCCATAATCTCTTATAGCAGGGGTTCCCAACCTGGGGTGCGAGACGATATTCCAGGGGGTGCAAGAAAAGTCCAGATAATTTTTATTTATTCTTATTTTTATTTATTTATTGATTGATTATGCAATGGATTAATTTTGTTTTCATTTTAGAGTTAAGTATTGTTATTTAGTGGCCGTCACATACATAGCTCAAAAGATTCAATCCTACCATATATTTAACGCGATGAGTAGTTCCTAAAGTCTAAATTTCAGGGGGTGCAAGGTTCGAGTGAAATTTCTTTAGGGGTGCGGGGCAAAAAAACCGTTGGGAACCACTGCCTTACAGGGTGGAGTCTGGGCAACTGAACAGAACTGAATGTTTATTGGCCGGATGCCCTACCTGTCGCCAGTGTGGAGTTATATTCACAGATATATTCTCAACGAGCCCAGAGAGAGAAATTTCTGCCTCTACCTAGGATTGAACTCACAGCCTCCTGATTGTGAGGCAAGAGCTCCACCTCTAGGCCACCACACCATTCTTCCCCCTTCCCTTTGTGGGATAGTAATTCCCTTTCATGTTGGCACTCCTATTGGCAACCTTTCTCTGATCACTGCCTCGGTGGGCTGAGACAGCTTTTCTCTCCCTCCTTTGTGTCTCCCCAGGTTCTTTACCACCTTTTCGAAGAGTTTGCCAACTATGAAAAAGTCACCCTCACGGACATCGTCCTGGGCTTCCTGAGCTTCTTTGTGGTGGCCCTGGGGGGCGTCTTTGTCGGGGTTGTCTACGGCATCATCGGAGCCTTCACCTCCCGCTTCACCTCCCACATCCGGGTCATCGAACCTCTTTTCGTCTTTCTGTACAGTTACATGGCATATCTGTCTGCAGAGGTCTTCCACCTGTCAGGCATCATGGCGTAAGTATTAGACTGGGATGGGAGCAAGCAGTGCCCTTCAGACATTTAGGACTGGACCTCTCATCAGCCCCAGTTAGCAGAGGAGTTTGGAAAGGACTGTAGGAGTTGTAGTCCATTCATCTGAGGGGAACCGGGTTGTCTGTCCCTGCTGTAGAACTATAATGAGTTCATGGACATTCGTGGTAGCATCTAGTAATCCCCCAAAACCACAATGGAAGACCACAAGGACACACCAGAGTTGTAGGCTAGCTAGACTGCAAACTTGAAAAAAAACAAAACATCCTGCAAACCATTTTTGTTTTGTTGCTATGTCCATGAAGTTCCTAGTTGAGTTGAAGTTGACTTTAGATCATAACCTTTAGAGCAGGGGTCTCCAAACTTGGCAACTTTGAGACTTGTGGACTTCAATTCCCAGAATTCCCCAGCCAGCTGCAAGTCTTAAAGTTGCCAATTTTGGAGCACCCTGCTTTAGATCACAGGCAGATGACTTATTTTAAGTATTTATTAAATGTATTTGTTAGAATTACAACCTCTCTTTCCTCCAAGAACTTGATTTGCATTTGTGCATTCTCACCTGAAAAATGGCTGAAACCCACCCCCCTCCCCATGGTGTAAAAACAGCCTGGAAAATAGCCTGGAAAACAGGCCAAAAAATAAGTGGGGGCAGGGCCAGCCAGTGTTGGGATTTGCCAGTTTGCCAAACTGCGTAGAATCTTAACTACCAGTTCGCTGGAACCAGTGCGAACCGGATGCAGCCCATCTCTGCTTTAATATAATTAAACAACAGCATCTGCCTATCCCACTCTCCTGGGGAAGACTCAATAGGTGGACAGAAATGCCACAAAAATTCTTGGGCTTCTTTGTTCTTGGTGCCTCCTATTTTGTGTCCTGATCATACTGAGTTCCTGTCTCTGTCTGTCTCTTGGTCTGTCTGTCTGTCTGTCCGTCTGTCTGTCTCTCTCATTTTTGTTATTAGCCATTTGAAAGAAGAAATAACGAGCAAATAGATAAAGGACTATAAGATAAATAAACACAATTTAAACACAGCCCAGAAATAGTACATCCTTAGGTAAGGAGCAAGTGAAGAATAGATTAAATTGTTTGAAAAGATTAAAAGTTGTTTTTTAAGCTCTAAGCTAAAGGAACATATGGGTGTCTAGGCTGGGTGTGAAGCCTTGGGAAGGTCACTTCCTCTAGCAGTATATTTTACTCTTGCATAGGGGTTAGAGAGGAAGGATGTCTCCCACTTATATTCACACGTAGGCGGTTCCTGATTGCCAAGGACAACCAAAGAATGCTTAACACAAGATTTTATATTAGGGCTCATTTTTGAGTGATGTAGATAGCTCCTACAAGCATTCCTCTCTCCATCTTTTCCTTCCAAGTGTGATCATCTGGTGGAACGGAGTATCTTCCCAGGAGGATCAGGGATGCTGCTGGCCTCTTCAGTCTTCCCATAGCTCATTTCTCTTTTTCTTGCAGGCTGATTGCTGCAGGGGTGGTGATGCGCCCTTATGTGGAGGCCAATATCTCCCACAAGTCCCACACAACCATCAAATATTTCCTGAAGATGTGGAGCAGTGTCAGCGAGACCCTTATCTTCATCTTCCTTGGTGTCTCCACTGTGGCCGGGAAGCACCACTGGAACTGGGCCTTCGTCATTTGCACCCTGTTTTTCTGCTTGATCGCCAGGGTTTTAGGTCTGGACATGTTGCTCAAATGGGAAATAGGGCAGGGGTGATCATTGAAAGTTACTGGTTATGCTCTTTAAAGCCTTATGTGGCTTGAGGCCAAGGTTCCTTGAAGAACCACCTCTCCTTTGTTAGCATCTACCCAGCCCACTAAAGTGTGATTGTGGGTCCTTTTTTTGACACCCCTGGTATAGGGTCTCCTACTTCAGAAGAGTGTTAGGCTAGAAGACCTTCAGGGTTCCTTCCATCTCTATTAGTCTATGTCAGTGATGGCTAACCTTTTTGAGCTCCTGTGCCAAAAATTGTGTGCGCACTGTCGCTTGCGTGCTGGTGTGCCAGCACCCAGAAGGCAATGCACCTCCCCCGCATGTGCACACAATTCCCGCCCCTGTCGCCGCTGCCATCCCCCACCCCCTTACCTGCACTGCGCCTCACAGCTGATTTTCGGCCTCCCAGAGGCTTGAAAAAAGCCTCTGCAGGCTTTGCAGGATGAATAATAGGCCTGTTTTATCACTTTGTCACAGCTGCAGTCCATGAAGAGGATCAAGTCCCTCTCCTCCTGAGTAGATCATGTTTTACCCTGATCCTCTCCTCCTTGTGTGGCCTAGGATGGATAGGGGATGGGCCTTGGTCCTCTTCTGACTGCCCAGCCAACCTCTGCCCTTCCCCAGGCTCCTCCACAACCTCTGGAGCCATACTTCCACTCCCTGTCGGCTGTTCCTCCTCTCCCTCAGAGTCAGTCTCCACCAGGGGCATGACAGTATGAGAGTAGCCCTTGGCAAGATAGGTGGCAAATAAATTTAACCAACCAACCAACCAAACAAACAAACAAACAAATGTTAGGTTTTGCATGCTGTGCATGTGGGGGCCACTAACCTTCTACCCGATCAGTGTAAATGCCCTGTGTGAACAGTGTGATTTGAAACCCTGAAAAAACGAAAACCAAGAGCTCTGTATGTGTCAACAGTGCCATTAGGTAACCTTTGCCTCTCCGTCTTTTCAATCTGTGTTCAGGTGTGCTGGGGTTGACATGGTTCATCAACAAATTTCGCATTGTGAAGTTGAGCCCGAAGGATCAGTTCATCATTGCCTACGGTGGCCTGCGAGGGGCCATCGCCTTCTCTCTCGGCTACCTCCTGGATTATAAGCATTTCCCAATGCGAGACATGTTTCTTACAGCGATCATCACAGTCATATTCTTCACAGTCTTTGTGCAGGTAGATCTGAGTGTCCCCTCCCCTTCCCCATCCCTCCTGGCAACCTTCACAATTTGGTCTAAAACCTCCCGTCTGGATTTCTGAGTGCCCCTCCCGAGGAAATAAAATATGTGCTTTCTCCCTTTCCCTTCCCTTCCCTCTTCATTTATTAAAAATCAAGGGGACTCTGGTAGCACCTTTTCTGACTGACACATTTTACAGAAAGGCATGGTTTCATGAGCTGGTCCTCATTTCCATCAGATGCATCGAGTGACTGGGCTGATGTAGGATTTAAATTGGCAGAAAATGGAATGGAAGACAGGATGATTATGCAGATTATACATGAGACAGATTTCTGGCGTCCCATTAATTAACCCTAACCAATCCTCATCTCATATATAAATCCCAGATCAGTCAAGCTACTTACACACATTGATAAAGTGAGCTTGAGCTCACAAAAGTATGTGTCTTTATTTATTAAATGTATAGGCTGCTCATCCCAGTTAAGACACTGAGCTTGTCAGCTGGAAAGCTGACAGTTTAGGTTCAAGACTCAACGCTCCATGACAGGGTGAGCTCCTGTTACTCGCTCCAGCTCCTGCCAACCTAGCAGTTCAAAACCATGCAAATGTGAGTAGATTTATAGGTACTACTTCAGTGGGAAAGTAACAGTACTTTTGTCACACGCTCTACACCGTGTGATACTGTGGCGTGATGTCAGTGCTCTTTGGACAGTGCTGGCTCAATGGCCTAGAATTGGAGATGAACACCCCGCCCCGCCAAAGATGGCTACAACTAGTGGAATAAAATCCGCAGGGAAACCTTTGCCTTACTTCTTGCCATCATGCAAGGTGGCTTACAGCAAAATAAAACGACAATGTAAAGCATGAAATGGATATATTAACATTAAAGTTAACAAAGATCATTAAGGAAGGAATCAATTAAACAATGGGGTAGAGATGGAATCTCCTCTTAACCCAGGAACCACTTCCACTATGGATCCCAGGCCATTGGCAGAACCAGGTTTTAAGGACCTTTGAATAAAATGTGTTAGAAAATGTACCACCAGGGTCCTTTGGATTTAGGACTACTCTGTCCTCCTACAGTGTCATAAATATATGGAGTCAAGTTTCCTTGACTCCTGAGACTCCTAAGAAGGTGTCTTTGTGACTTTCCTAGCAATAGTAGGGAAGTGGCTTGCCATTGCCCTCTGCTGGGATATTGCTTGAACTGTTCAGTTTATGGGCCTGGGATTTCCTGATGGGTTCCTTTCCAAGTGTTAGACGGGTCTCATCCAAGATCAGCTAATGTCAGTTGGGTAGAGCCACCTAGCTGTGCTCTCAGTAAAGAATGTTTCTGGGATTCACTGCATTAATTACACTTTCTGGCATTCATGCTTTGTATATTTATGTGTATAGCTCTTTACAGGTACTTGTAAAATGCAATATGGATTAAATATAATGAAACGTCAGAAATTACCTGGAAGTGAATGGATGATTGGATGATTTTGAGGTCATATTCACCTCACTTAACAGGCTGATTTCTAGAACCCAGGTGTCAAACTCGCCACGTCACGTTGTCATCATGTGATGTTTGTTTTTCTCCTTCACGGAGCTGGCGTGGCCTGTATTTCTATTCATCTGCCTGTGGACAGAGTTTGATACCTCTGTTCTAGAAGGAGGGAGCCTCATTTGAGCAAAGACTTGCAAAGATTTACATCATGTTCCACCAGATCTCTAGTATGTTCCAAGAATGACCCACTGATCCTCAGTGATTCTTGGAATAGGACGGGGGCCTCCAAACTTTGCAATTTTAAGACTTGTGAAAGAACTAAAATTCAACTCCCAGAAAAACATGGCTGGCTGGGGAATTCCGGGAGTTGAGATCCACAGTTGCCTAGTTGGAGACACCCCCCCCCCCGGAATGAGAGAAGAGGGGAGCTGTCTGTCAAGCTCAGCCACTGTTACAGAGGTGGGGCTAGCAAAGTGTTTGGGAAGAGCATTTGGGAAGGAAAATGAAAAATGAACTGACTTTGGGTATGGCTGGTGGAATTTAACCTGCCTTGTCTATCTGCAGGGCATGACCATCCGCCCTCTGGTGGATCTTCTGGCGGTGAAAAAGAAGCAGGAGACCAAGAGGTCCATTAACGAGGAAATTCACACTCAGGTAATGGGTTTTTTCTAGCTGCCGCAAAGCGTCTCTGTGGCGTGTGGGTGTGTCGGTGCAACTGTAACCAGTTGTGTTGATATTCTTCACATCTGCAAAATGTAATTTTAAATATTAAAATCTGCAAATTGCATCTGCAAAATGTAATTTTAAATATTAAAATCTGTAAATTGCAT